CCTCACCTCCTCCTCGCTCTCACTGCGGAAACACAGGCACGCGGCCCGCTTCTTGTAGCCGTCGCCATCATAGGTGCGGGTCTGGTTCGACTTGAGCTTCATCATCCTCCAGGCCCGGTGCGGGTGCGGCGCGGGTCGCGGGAGTCGAGGGGTGGGGAGCCCGCTCCGGACGGCCTCGCGCGCGCGCGCCCCCGGCGTGCCCCAAGGAAGCAGGGAGGGGAGAGCGCTTCTCCGCTACACGGCTCCGCCGCTGGCCCGCCGCGGCCGCCTCATTCCCCCCGACCCAGGCCCCGCGCCGCCGCCGCCGTCACGGCTGCCGTTGCCGCTCCCGCCACCGCCGCCGCCCCCTCTCTCGCCGCCACCCCCGACGACGACCGCGCCGCCATCTTGGGCGCGCTGCGTCAGCGGCGTAAGGCCGCGCCGGGCTGCGGGACGGCGGCGCGCTCGCAGCGCAGGCCGCGTTCAGGAATCGCGCCCTCCTCGTCCGCGCGGTGTAAACGAACGGCTGAGACGGGAGCGGCGCGCCAGGCTCGGCGGCCACTACGCCAGTAGCGTAGGTGCGGAGCGCGCGCAGGGGAAGCCGGGCAGGCGCGGGTGTGGGCGCCGGGCGCAGACCCGGAGGTCCGGCCGCGCGAGGCGTCGGAAAGCGGGGCCTCGCGGAAGGTCACGCCGCGAGCTCGCAGCCGATGGGCCAAGGTCACGCCTCCCGGCTCTTGGCGCCGCGGTCTGTTTGGGAAGGAGGGAGGCGAGGGAAGCTCAGGTGCGGGAGATGGGATGCGATTGAACACAACCTAGAATGCAGTCCTAAAATCTGAGCTCCGAGTTGCGCGGGAACGGCGCGGGGCAGGGCAACGGCGCACGTGCGCTGACAGCCCGACGCCCTGGAAGTTCTGTGGGGCACGGTTTCTATTCCAAAGAACTACTAATTACCCTGCGGTCCCTTATTGGTGCAAAAGCACATGGCTTAGCTGAGGATGGACCTCAGTGGTACGGAGCTTGCCTAGCGTGCCAGGGCCGTGGGTTCCATTCCCAACACCGCCAAAAAAGAAACGTTTCTCCTTTTTGAGCGGGTAGAGGGACATTGTTTTGTTTTTTTAACACTGACTCACTGTAGTCCAGGCTGGCGGCCTCCATGCTAGGATTGCAGGTGGGCACCACTGTGCCGGGCCAAATGCTTAAGGCACGGGAAAGAGCTAGGAGTGTGTGTGTGTATGTGTGTGTGTGTGTTACACATAATGTAAATCATGAAACGTCTTTGTGTCTGACAATGAGGATTATATATTGTGGAAGGCAAGCAGATTGTCCAGGAAAAGATTTTTGTACAGATCTAACAATCTTCAGGAAAGACAAAGGGATTTCACCTGTACATGTTCTCTACTGCCTGGACCAAAACTGGATAGCACCATTATGATGCCCTTAACTTTTTGAAAATCCTCTGCAGGATTTGTTAGTGAATTTTTTTTTTTTTTTTTTTGGCGGGAGGGTTCGTTTTGTTTTGTTTTTGAGACGGTCTCATTCCGTAGTTCAGGCTGGCCTTGAACTCTGGACAGTCCTCCTGTCTCAGCCTCCCGAGCGCTAGGATTACAGGTGTGCTCCACAACGCCCAGCCTGTATTTAGTATAGTCCAATAAGATCGAGATTTGACACCAAACTGAGTTGGAACGTCAATTATATCACTTTTTTAAAAACTCTATGCATGTAATCCCAGCACTTGGGAGGCTGAAGCAGGAGAATCACTGTGAGTTCAAGGCCAGCCTGCACTACACAGTGAAACCTTGTCTCAAAAACCCAATATACAAATATTTAAAACTGTAAAATATGGATAATAAACCTATTCGGTCCTGGCACGTAGCAGACACTCAGTTTGTTGCAGCTCATATTCCTGACACTTCCCTCAGCCTTTACCACAAAAGATGTAGAGTTTCAGATCATTTAGGTCAGTCTTGATGCAATAGAATGCCCAAACCCTTGGTCATTTAGTTGTCTTTCTAGCTTTGTCCTCTGCCGTCATGTTACTGATTTAAAAGAAAACACTGAAAGTCCCTTTTGTAGACATAGTAGACTGTCAAAATTTTGAGAAGATACAGAGGGCATAAAAATAAATCATGGATATCATTGAACACATTCTATATATCTGTATCCTGCATTTTTCTGACCCCTTCATGCTATTTCTGGATCATTTCTATTTAATTAATAGCCCATCCTCAGGATGTTATCAATTATTTTGCCACTTCCCCATGGGTAGAAGCTAAAGTTCTGTCCTATTTCAGTAGAACTATAGCCTTGAACATCCCTTCATATTAAACATGGTCCCTATCTCAGACAGTTCCTGAAGATAAATTCTGAAAAGTAAGCCAGATGAGGTGGCTGAGGCAGGAGGATTGCTGCCAGGCTGGGCCGCTGTCAGTGCCAGATCTTCATGGTGCCTCCCCAAGTGCAGGTGCCGAGGATGGAGGCAGCACGGGGTGGCAGGTGGTGCGCTCACAGGCCTTCATGTGCATGCCAGGCCAGCAGCGCGAAAGCTGAACAAGAGGACCTGGCCATCGGAGCCGCCAGTCACCAGGAGGTCACCACATGGGGAGCACTCTCGGCCCACACCCTGTGCCCTTGGTAGCGCTGCTGTCGCTCAGGCAGTAGGGTCACGTGGCTTAGAAGAGGTCTGGATAGTTGCCGCTGGTCTGCGCCAGGAACGCGGGCTCCTGCCGGTGCAGGGTCAAGCTGGGCAGGAGTACCCCTGTGGAAAATCTGGTTGGCAATTTTGGCAGAGCTCCGCAAGTCCCAGGCAATTTTGGCGTGGTCCAAGGAGTTCGCGCTGCTCCATGCTGCTTAGGAGCTCAGAGCCGGCTACAGAAAGAGGATGTCCAGGGCCGGCTGCACAGCTGCCCTGTAGCTCCTCCCACCTGGTTGGCGCTGGTGTCCCAAGCCTTGATTTCGGAGTTGAAGCCCCCTGATAAGAAAACGCTGTGGTCTTTGAGATGAAATTAGCTGTGATTCCGACCACCCAGGAGCTGGCTTCCTGTTTCAATGGCGGTCGGGTGCAGCGAGCAGGTCTGTAGGCAGTGCCCCAGCCCGCGTCCACAGCCTGCAGATTCTGCCCATGGAGAGGAGCATCTGGCCTCTGGCCAGCACGGGACACCGCTGGAGATGCAGCTGGGTCCCCTCGGATACCCCGGGGACCGCGCAGAGCAGGGTTGGGGTGCAGCCGAGGGACACCCTGTGGACTTCACCGCACGGCCCTGGTCTGGCCCTGTGCTCACTGCCTGCAGCTGTCTCGGCCTCTGTGGGGTGTTGGGGACAACGTGCTCTTCACTCCTGTTCCCTTCCAGAGAGCTGCCGTGTCTACCGGCGGCAGCAGATTCATCCTGAGCCCAGAAGGGTGATGTGGAGGCACCACAGGCGGGTTGGACCTGCTCCTGGTGGGCAGCTGCTGGGTGTGGGCCCGCCAGGGCACAGCTGGTCCACAGGGAGGAGGGGCAGAGAGGCGCCCAGGCTGGGGTGGTGGCCTCAAGATCCTTCCCAGGCCACTGCAGCCTCTGGCCGGGGCACGAGCTGGGCCTGCTCCCCAAGAGCCAAGCCAGTGGGAGGCGTTGCTCCTGAGGGGTTGGCACAAGGACTGGGCTCCATGCACTGTGCCCTCTTCTGTGTCAAATCCCCAGCACCACATGCAAAACTCTGCCTGGGAGGCCCGGCCACACTGGAAGTGTCTTCCACCCGGCCAGCAGCATTTGTACCTCCCGCAGGCTCCGACTCGGCTTCTGAGTCAGAACCATCATAAGCCACCATGAGGCCATCAAACGCACGGTGTCCTGCTGTCCAAGGCGGACCACCTGAAACCAAACAAAATCAGAGTTGGGAAATGTGGGGAGCAGGCATGGGGCCACACACGTGATCCAGCACTCAGGAGACTGACGCAGGAGGGTTGCAAGTTTGAGGCCCGCCTGGGCTACACAGTGAGTATAAAACCAGCTGGGATTACATAGCAAGACCCTGAGTCAGAAAAGGAGCGTGGATGTTTTGTAATTCCGTCCTCCAGCTTTTTGTGTGTTTGTTTAATTTGAAGAGCTCACATCACTCCCAGAACCATTATTGAAGTAGTTTTTTTTTTTTTTTTTCTTTATTCAGGATGGCTTAACCAAGAGACTCTGTTCTTTCTTTGAAGAAAATGGGTAAACTGTAAATATTAAAAAGTTATATTGGACCAGGGACTTAAGCTTAGCAGCATAAGTGCCTGCTTGCCAAGCGCAAGATCCTGAGTTCGATTCCCGGTACCAAAAAAAAAAAAAAAAAAAGACTTCTAAAAAGTTGTATTATTCCAGTTAAATACTTATATAGATGTTCTATTTTTTTTTTTTTTTTAAAAAGGGGGTGTGGTGCTGGGGATTTAGCTCAGCGGCACAGAGCCTGCCCGGCAAGCGCAAGGTCGTGAGTTCGATTCCTGATACCAGAAAAAAACAACAACAACAAAAAACAATGCCAGGTGTGGTGGTGCACACATCATCCCAGCACTCAGGAGGCTGAGGCAGGAGGATCGCTGAGTTCAAGGGCATCCTGGGCTACATAACAAGACCCTGTATTCCAAGACTACCAGGAAATAGGAGACCTCGCAGAAACAAGGCCCCTGCCAAATTCACACTTTCCTATATTCTGCTCATTGTGAACTATCTAGTTTTGGTTTTGGTTTTTGGCAGTACTGGGGATTGGAACCCAAGGCCTTTACACTGAGCTACATTGCAGCCCCTTACTATTTTTCATCTTGAGACAGGGTCTCATTAAGTTGCTAAATTGCCCTGTGTTATGGCTATATCTAGATGTCCCCCCAGTGCCTCATGCGGTCATAGGTAGGGTTTTTTTCAGAGGTGGCTGAATCTAGAGTGTGTGGCCGATTGATGGTGCAGAGCTAGGATTAAGGGGGGGTGGTTACTAAATCAGTCCACTGGTTGGTTTGGCACCACCCCGATCCCAGTAGCCTGGGTACAATCTGAGGGACAGAAAGAGGCTTGTCTCCCCTCTTGCTCACTTTGGGTCATTCTGCCTTCCACAAACTATTCTCCACGAAGCCACCCGGCCTTGAAGCCGGCCGATTATGGACTGAACCACTGCTAGCCGTAAGCTAAGTGAACCTTTCCCCTTTTAGCTTTGGGGATCAGGTATTTTGTCTCAGCAATGAGAGAACAGTAACTAAGACACCCAGGTTGGGCTCAGATGTTTGAACCTCCTAGCTCAGTCTCCCAGAGTCCTGGGATTACAGGCATGCACCACCATGCCCAGCATG